AGCCCTAAACCCTAAGTCTTCAGCAGCCAGGAGCACAAGCTCATCACTCAATTCAATGGTGTGGAGACGGATTCTGGATCCTGCCTGGCCTTTGCACCAAGTGTGCCTGGGCTGGGGTTTAGGGTATAGGGTTTAGGGTTTAGGGTTTTGCTGTTACCTCTGGCCCCCCCTCGAATTTGTACGGTTGGCCTTCCATGAACCCTAATCCCAAGACCTAAGCAACCTTCAACAAACCTCAACTCTAAACCCTTCATAACTCGAGGCCGGACCCCGAAGCCCTAAGCCCTCATCACGCCTTGGTGCTTCATAGAGACTGAGGGAGTGGATCCCTATACTAATCCATATAGAAAACCCTGACTATGGTGACAATGTCCCCTTTCCGCTCCCCTATTAAGCAACACTTAACAAACCCTAAAACCCGAATCAGAGACAAGAAGGACAATTAGTAGCTTCCCTTCTCGTTTCCATTATCCCTAGATAACCCCTACATATACACCTACATATACTCCAATTATAATACGTTGTAGCTTTTAGTTTCTGCTGCACCTCTTTGTAAAGCACAGGTCCGCGGCGGCCCAGGCAACACAGTGCAACCCAGGGATCCCTGACTTCGTGAGATTGCTACAAAGTTTATTGGGTCTATAAGGGGGTGTTATAGGGGTTATACTGGGGATTATATAAAGGTTATATAGGGGTTATACTGCTTTAGGACTTGGAGTGTGGAGTTTAGGGGTTGAAGTTTGGAGTTCACGGTTTAGGGTTTTGGGTTTTGACTTTGGGGTTGAGGGTGTGAGGTTTGAATTTCCTTGCTTGGGGTTGGAGCAGAGACTTAATGGGGACTCGAGGAGGAACCTTCTGTAGTACTCATTGTGCATGATACTGTTGATGGATGAAATCTTGCACCATTTAGGGGCCCTAAATTATTGTAATTCCTAGGACTTTAGGGACTTAAGGTGGTGCAAGATTTCCTCCATCAACAGTACTCTTCATCGTCCATTTTCTGTTGCTTCAAGAGTGCCTGCACCGGCACCCTAAATTTACTCCTAGACTCCGCCTGGGGCACCAGGAAGCCTGGGCGGGCATTATGCTCCAGATGGAAAATGGTTCGGCTGATGTCCTCATTAGGATGTGTAAGTACGTGGCGTAGGACTCCTTTCAAGGGCCCAAGCCTTCCACATCAGATTTTCAGCGTCTGAGTTGAACAAAGCCAAGCCTAACAGGAGATAGGGGTTTTGGGTTTAGGGTTTAAGGGTTGAAGGGTTTAGGGTTTAAGGGTTTAAGAGTTTAGGGTTTAGGGTTTAGGGTTTAGGAGTATATGCCAGAGCCTGAGAGGCTCTTTGTCCCTGCAACTGGCTGATATTTGGAATCTATGGAATCCTGGGAATGTGGAGCCAGCTGGGGAAGACCCAAACCCTAAATCCCAAACAATTGTTTCTCCCTGCACAGAAGGGCAAAGCTACAAAGCGCTGCGCCTTGAAATCCAAACCACCGAAAACTCTGAATTGCCGAACACCTCAAACACAATCCATACAAACCTTGAACCCGCATGGAGGTTTCCGAAACTTATGGGCTCCTGTTCCGGGTCCTTGCAGTAGGGATTCCGCGATTTTGCGGTCTATTCTTGGGTCCCCCATGTTGGGAAACTCCCGTGTAACCAGGATTGGCAAACTCCTGGTCGCCAGAGCGACAACGTGCCAAGCGAGTTTATCAAACTTGAACCTTGGGCCGTGCCGTGTACCTGGGCCTCTATATAAGGTGCTGAGTTTTCCAACCCAAACAGGGAACCCAAAGAATCTATAGTAAGAGCATGATAGGGATATGGAATATACCTAAGAGGGTCCTTACATATGTATGTTATATATATATATGGTATTTATACATATTCCTCTTGCAGTCCCCATTACAATCCTTTTGGGCTTAGTAGCTGAGTAAAGAAACTCTCACCTGTGAGGGTACTTTATGCCATGTACTCCTATTTTGTAAGAAGGTCATTTTTCGGACGGAAACTTACCAGATACGTTAGCTTTCCTTTGTGAGGCTCAATGTATGGCGGAACGGGCTTGGGGGGGGCTTTCGGCTGCACTTTCGTTGCTTCAGAGTTCGAATTTATGGTCGGTTGCAGAGGTATCGCCATCTACAGCCCAATCTGAAGATGTACTAGCTACCTACCTTATGGAGTGCGAAAACGGGGCGCAAATTTGTTGAACCCCTCCTCCCTATTCCAGCAGTCAGCCTTCAGAGCTTCCAGAACAATATGGATCGTCTTCCGACCCTCACTACGTCAGTGGCTCCTGACCGGCAGACTTTGGCTCAATGGTTACAAGGCCACAGCTCAGAGTGGCCTCAGATTCCCAAGCCTAAATTAATTAACATATCTTAAACCCTCCAAAGCCCTAAATCCTGTAGGGTTGAGGGCTTTTAGGTTCAAACCCTATAGAGATCAAAGTATCCTTCCCTATTTGGGCTATGAAAGGATGAGCACCGAGCAAGCCCGGATGTACCACTCGTTGCCCAGTTGGAGCGGGGTCATCCTCATGAACCCATCTTCCAGACCCTGCTCCAATTTCTTGGGTTTTTAGGGTTTAGGGCCTAGGGATGTAATGCTGTTTCCAGCTCAATCGGGCATGGTCTGAGGGAGCAGTGGAATAGCCGACGTCCAATCTCAATGCCAAGGACCCTGCCAAACCTTTTCTGCAATCCACATGCCAAAGCCCAGCCCCCTTGCAGTTCCACAGACGGATTGAGGTGCAAACCAGTGGATGAAGGACAACCCCAACAAGTGGCAGGGATACTCTTTCTACACCTGGATGACGCCGCTTGAGAGGCAGGCCGCAACACTTGAGTGGAATCTATAATGAATATATGACCCCAACTGAAATCCCCAACACATAATTTAAGAATCTCTTGTTGGGTGGTGACTTTTTTGTTGAAAGAGAGCAGAACCGTAATTAGGATCTCTTAGCGTGCCTGTGGCTTTCAGGTGGCGAGTGGTTAGTTTGGTGTGGAGGAGTGGATCCCCATGGTAGTCCGGTACAACTTGCGGTATAACCCCCAAATGTCAAAAGAGTTTCGGTATTCCATTCCTTCAATCAATTCCTACGACCCACCGGTCATCAAGGCGGTTCAATTCCAAGACAAGTGGACTGGTTGGGGAGCCATCAGGAGATTCATGCTTCGGAACAAGAACAGAAGAATACCAGCTCTTTGAAGGGTGCGCAGGGCCCTTCGCATGAAAGTGATTAGAAAAGGATACAGATGCTCCAGGTTCTTCTTTTCGTTTCCATTTTGGAAATCAAGTCTTCTTGGTTCTTGAGCCTGAAGGGGGGGTTCATTCAGCTCAAGAGCATAGGGTCTTACGTGCTCTAGTTTGCCTGGCCTGCCTGCTCGTGCAAACCTGCTTCTGAAGCCCAAGCACATCTTAAGTGGCGCGATGCTGCTTTTCCCACTTGCATGAACGGTTTGCAGAGACCGCGTCGACGTCTTCCCCGGAAGCGCAGCGGACATGAGGGCATTGCTTCACTGCATTTCACTGCGATCTTTGACTTCGAATAGTATCTGTACACTTGTATTGTGATTCTATCGTGCCAGGTCAAAGCTACGCCGGGGTGGTGCTGGGTTTGTAGCTCAGGTGTAATTGTAAAAGTAAGCGGGTTTGGTCTAGCTGTCGCTCGATATTTCTGCCCAACTAGACTGTAATGAACAAGAAAAGCTGTATAAATTGCTCCGCTCTGAAGCTATAGACTTTTCCTGCAATGCAGCTGCGCAACGTAGAGCTGGACAGTCTGAATTCAGCTGCTTTGACCTGTACGGACTTCAAAAGAGGAGGTAGCTAGGACGAAGTAAGCAGCGGCCCCATTTCCGAGTTTCATCCTTGGAATCCTAAGTCCCTAAGGCCTCAAAGCCCCCCCACGTCCCCCCGCCCCCCCGCCCCTCAATTCACAGGTTTTGAGCACCTAAACCCTTCAACCGGCAAACTCAAACTCCAAATTTTAAACCCTACGCAAAACCCTGAATCCTATAATCCCTGAATCTTTGGAGGTGCGCAACGGTGGTCTACAGCCTCGGGCTTCAGCCAGTACTCGCCTTCGTGGGCGGCTGCAGGGATGCATTCAGAAACAGCATTGGGGTTTAGATGTTTGAGTTTCAGGTTGGGGTTTCGGTTTCAGATTGTTCTCGACATGGGGTTTAGGCGTCTGGGGTTAGGGAGTGGGAAGCGTTTTTTTTTCACTTGGGGAGTTTCTCAAAATGCGGAGGGCTTGTTTGAAGTCCTTGCATAGTAACGGGTTCCATCGGTGTTAGGGAGTATATATTGCTTCGACTTTGTGCTTCATGTTTGCCAAGCCCAAGAGAATCCACCTTGTCCTTTTTAGTTGCGAATGTGTATATGACCCTTGTAACGTTTTCTGAGCCTGAACAATCTTGTGGTTTAGTTCCCAGTCCGAAGATGCAGACTTCACCCATGTGCACCCAATCTTGTGGTTTAGTTCTCGAAGGTGCAGACCTGCACCCGGACATTTTTTTCGTGTTTTTTGCCATCTAATGCGCCCTTATTCGTTTAATTTAGGTCCCCAAGCCCTTTCATGTAGAAGCAATGTCTACACCCTGTAGGGCAGGAGCCCTAAACCGTGCAGTGTAGGTTTGGAGTTCGACCTGATGCCGTCCCCGATTGCTGAGGCACCTGCGCCTGTGGGGTCTTGTGGAAGCCATCCTCTGTGTTTGGTTTGTCAAAATCCCGNNGGGGGGGGGGGGGGGGCTTTGGGGACCCTAACTCGCAGCCGATGGTGTGTTTAGTGGAAATCAAGCGTTCACATGCAGTAATAGTTTGACAACGTCATCTTCTAGACGCAGGACAAGGGGGGAACTGAGAAGTCCATGAAGCTCTGTTGGAATCCACCTTGTCGACTGCAGGGCTTTTGCTGGGTTGCTGTTAAGGAACTTAAACTAAGTTACCATAGTGGGTATGTATAGCAATGGGCAGGGTTTCCCCAAAGTAGTAACTTGAATAAAGCTCCTTAATAACCCTGTTTGTTCCCCAAGCGCAAAACAGGGACTCGGCTTAAAAAGACGATGAGAACCTGGATCGGGCAAAATGGCCTGCGAGTGTTTCACGTGCCTTCCTGCCAGGCCCTTGAAATCCAAATAGCCCAGTGTAGCTGATATTTACAGACTTCAGGGCCCAATGTAGGTATTATTTATCTACTTGGATCCCTACGGAGGCTTATGGGTGCTGAAAGACTAGGGGCTTGATCAGAGCCAGATGTTTGACTTGTTGGGTTAGGTAGTTCAGATGAGCCCATGCATAGAGGCTGCGGATTGGGGTCCCTGGAAACAGGGCTGCTGTTAAGGAACTTAGTTCAAGTTACTATATCGGGGAAACCAGATTAAGTACTATGTATATATATATATATACTCATTACAGTAACCTGGCTTAAGCTCCTTTACAGAAACCCAGGAGAGGTGCGGCGTTGGAAGAAGCTGACGTGTAAAGCCAGCGCGCTCTGTGCATTCACACGGATTGCGGCATCTGTAGCAGGAAGTGGGACCATGATGGCGCAGCGCTGCACAAGCAGGCAACATATGAGTAGTACTTCGAATAGGGGTTCTATAGTCCCTAATCTTCAGGTATACTCAAGCATAATGTTGCATAATAAGAAGAAGTTACCCTGCTTTCTTCAAAAACCACCAACCATAGTATGTCTTTCTGATTCATAACTCAAAGACTGCGGCTCAACTTATGCAGGTGGAAACGTTCGTGTGCTGGCCCGATACGCAGCCCGGAGGCGCCAGCCCCGGTCACATGGGGGGGTTCCCCGAAATTAGTGGTACCTTTTAAAGGGTTATAGGGGTTATATATAGAGGCGTATATAGGGTTTAGGGTTTAGGGTCTCCCAAAATTAGTGGTACTTTTTGAAGGGGTTATATAGGGGATATATATATATATAAAAGGATATACAGGGTTTAGGGTTTCCCAAAATTAGTGGTACCTTTTAAAGGGGTTATTGGGGTTATGTATAGGGGTATATAGGGTTTAGGGTTTCCCAAACCTGGGGGTACCTTTTAAAGGGGTTATAGGGTTTATAGGGGTTATATATAGGGGTATATAGGGTTGAGGGTTTAGGGTTTCGCAAAATTCGGGGTACCTTCTCGGGGGTCGCGAATAATATTTTGGGGGTCTATGTTGGGGTCCCTCTATTTTGGGGAAAGTAGCACATGTGCGGGCTTCCCGTTTGGGGTTCCTCCATGTCCCTCTACCTCCTTTCAGGTCCCAGTCTTGGGGAATATTTGGGGTACCCGGGTGTTGTGAAATTACGGCTTTTTTGAACAACTGAGTACACTCCCGGAAACTAACATGGAAACCCAAAAGGGGCCCTATAAAGACTACAGTCCCTCTAAAATGGGGCTATACGGGTTTCCATGTTAGTTTGGGGGAGTGTAGTTTTTGTGTTCACAAGGGAGCGGGCCTTATTGAGGAGAGGACTGCTTTACAGTGACTGGTTCTGGGAGATTTTGTCCAGCGATTTGACGCGAGTTGCTGGAAATTCATAGTTCTTGTCTTGGTGGCCCCAGACATGCGTAATAGGGAGTACAAGGCCCCCTATCGAAATTGTGGGAATTTTGCAATACAATTCCCGTGGAACCGAATACATCCCCGGACTGGTTAGGTTTCCCCTGTCTTGAGACACCTCATATCTTCCTGTTGTCCAGGAGTCGACCTGAGTGCAATTGAGATGCACATCATGTCTGGCGGAGTGCCGCTGCTCACCAGGACCTACTGCCTTGCCGGTGGGAAGGCACCAGGGGCAACCCCATCTTGAAAGATCGCCTACAGAGAGTCCACTCTCGGCATGCTCTTAGGCTCCCAGCTGTAGCCCTCAAAAGGGAACGAAGGGCGCTCTCTTAACTGGTTTGAGGTTCGACCTATGCCACAGTCTCCTTGCCGCTTAGAGCCCCAAGCCCATATAGTTCCTCTTAAAGGGGGTATATAGGGATCTTATTACAATTATAATATACCCAAAGCCATAATCTGTCTGCTTAAGGGGGACTATATCCTCCTGAAGTGTGGCTCGAGGACCATCCGCCTGAAGAAGCGCTTCGGTTCCGGCACCGACTTCAGCAACAGCAACTTAGCAACCTCAAGGTGCAAGGTCTGGGGTATTTAGAGAAACATGTTAGGGTATATATTGGGGTTATATAGGGATAATAGAAATAAGATGGAAACGACTAGAACGGTTCATATAGGGGTTATATAAGGATAATTGAAAATAAGATGGAAAATACTATAATGGGTTATGCAGGGCTGTGAGGGTATGTAGAGAAACAGCAGAAGCCTGAACAAGTGTGACTTGTACAGCATCAGGACCAGAAGCCTTATGCCCATGCAGCATAGTGGAGTGCAACTCACTAGCCAAACCCTATTCCAAGTACCCTCCCGGACACTAACATGGAAACCCAAAAAGGGCCCTATAAAGATTACAATCCTTTTGAAGGGTATATGGATTTCCATGTTAGTTGGGGGGAGTGTACTTAGGCATGTACAGTGATCGCCGCAAGTGTTCCGACAACCTACTGCTAGCAGATCAAGGTGCTTCACCATCATCGAAGGCTAGAAAGACAAACCCTGGATGCCCACAGAAGTCCCTATAAAGTCCTCCGGGTATTTCCGTGCAATCCCGTAATGGACCCCAGAAGCTCATTCCCAGAAGAAACTGAGGCAACATCCACGCCACCACTGCCAGTGGAAAGGTGGCCAATCTTAAGCAGCATGCTCTTTCTTATGTCTAGTCTAGTTGAGAATGGTGGAAGGGATCCTTATGGTAGTCCCTATATGGTCGGCAGAAGCCCATGAGTGAGTGGTAGCCGCAGGCACTCTCCATGCTTTTGTCTGTTCCCAAATGCTGTCAGGCGGCCTTTTTGTTAGATCATGACACACAAGATTGTTCAGGAGATTTTGAAAGGCGAGGAGAGAGCGCAGTCTCCGGACTCAGACGGTGCCTTTTCCATCTCCTACATGCCAACCCCTACGCTCTGTGCTCTCAACCCTGAGCCCTCAAACCTTCTACTCTCCTACTCTCTACCCCAAACCCTGGTTATTTGGGCCTCACTTGAGCTATTGTCACGTTTATTTGCTGCTCTTACCACCAAAAATGAGGAGGTATTTCAAGCGAATCAGTCCTGTACGTAAAATTCCTGGCCAAGAAAGTTGCATAATTGTCACACACACACATATAACTGCATTAATGAAGCCCAAGATTACTCCAAACTCTGCGCATGTTCCTGACTGTTCTCCTGGCCTTTGGTTAGCTGCGATTGAAGGAATGGAAAAGAAAATGGAAACTACTATAATGGGTGATATAAGGACTACTATAAGGATCGATTCCTTCATTCCTAAACCCTAAACGCTAATTAAACCCTAGGCCAGTCTTTGGAAAGCCAGGCGAACTTTGGAGTGCCTGAAGATGGGGCAGACGACTCCGGCTTGAACGGCATGTCCAGGGACTCCCTTCTCCAAGCTAATGCTGCTAGGATGACAACAGTTAAGGGTTTATAGGGGTTTAGGGTTTAGGGGTTTAGGGCTTCGGCAAACACACGTGAATGTAGTCTTAAGCGTCGAAGTTGTCGTAGATCTACCAGCGAAAGCTAATCAGATGCATTGTGGTGAAGCAGGAGGAGGAGTAGAAGGAAGAAAGGCTGGTATCAGTACGCTCTGGAAGCAAGGACCAGAGCACTGAAGCCCTCAATACAGTCGAAGATTGTATTCACCACCCGTCATCTACTCATGTCACCCTGAGTCCTGAGAATAATCCTTCAACCCCGCAATAATTGAGAGATGTTCTTCGCGTCTTTGTGTGCAATGAAATTGCTATATTACATGATTAGAGGCGAGGAGTTGGCCGGAGGGAGCGGTGTTTATTTACCACGGTGGCGGAAGTTGTAAGGATGTTGAACCGTGCTCCTATGTCTGGGCAAACTAAAACAACCTCACCCAGCCTCTCCAGGAATTTATTTAGAATATGGTTTCCAAATTGCCTTATTCCAGGCTACTCCCATCCCCCTAAGCCCAAAACCCTAAGCCTGGGTAGGCCCCTGGCATATTTAATATTTTCCCTAATGGCTTTAATAAGGGACCCTATATGCTAACATTTTTCAAAGGGTTTTAGGGGCCAACCCAGAAGCCTTAGGGAATTCATGTACATTGGCCAACTATGAAGTTGAGGCAAGCCTGGGCTTCGAGGTGGAGCAGGACATCTGCGAAAAGATCCAAGCCCCTTTCCAGAGATCCCTCCCCAAAGCTATGAGACCTCAAGGGCGTACATAGTTTAGGGTTTAGGGTTTATTATATACTGCATAGGCCAGTGTATAGGCAACGGATTCTTCAAGTTCTGTTCCTTTAGGTGTAACCTTAGGCATCTGAAATTGCCCAGATCATTTATAGACCTTGCTCTGAGCCCGGAACATGCTGCTGGAATGCAGTGCTGGCATTTAATGCGCCAAGCTGGGCTGCTAGTATATATATATATACATATATCCATGAATATATAGGAATAATGGAAAAGATAATGGAAACTACTATTTAGGGAAGCTACCCGTTGGGGTAATATTAGGGTAATTAGGGATAATGGAAGAGGAAGTGAAATTACTATTTAGGGTTTGGGGTTTAGGGCCTTATCCCAAGCTACCTTGGCGCAGGAGAACTATCTTGCCTCCATGATCTATGATGACCAGCTGGGTGCTAACGTTACAGAGCCCTGGTGGTATGAGAGAGTTTGGGTTGGCTTGAAGTGTAGCTACCTTCCACTTAGGGAGCCACGACTACGGAAGAAGCCTAGAGGTGCAGATGACAAACTCTTTCTGGCTTCCTCCTGTGCCTGATTCTGTAAAGACGGTTTAAACCTGAGCGTGGCTGTTTGGGTCAGAGTTAGGCTTTCCTCCAAAGGTAAGTTAAGGCTGAGCGTGCTCTTGAGACTCGTTAGTTTACCTGTTGACATGCGGCTACGGGGCGTAAAATCACACCGCACTACCCACCTGTCAAACTCAAGCCTGTGGACTTTTGATGGCTTCCTTCTTCAGGAGGGTAGCGTGCACCAATTTACGCAACGGACATTGCACAGCAACAACAAGGATCCTCAGAAGGAAAGCAAGACTTCATGACGCTACTACGCGCTCGTACTCCCAGTCTATGTCAAAGAGCTTGCTTCACTTGACTTAGTAGAAAGTTATGTACGGACATAGCATGTATGTGCAAATGTAGAATATGAGTGTGTGCATATTTGTATATATACATATGTATCTACATGTCTGTACAAATATACAGATACTTATATTTTCACACAGATACATACATAAGTGCTTTTACCTGTGTGTGGATATACACATGTGCTTATCCATGTGTTTGTGTAAAGAAATAAATAAGCCCTAAACCCCGAAATAGTAGTTTCCATTTTCTTTTCCATTATCCCAATATATCCCCTGTATAATCCTTTATATAACCCGCTTTAAAGGAGTTTTCAGGGCTAGAAGTCGAACAAATGGTGACCCAGGAGTCCTTGCGCGGTGTCGCAGCGGCTCGCAGGCTCAAGGCCCTTTTCCCAGAGAAGGCCAGCAAAAGCAGCCGCTTTACGTTGTACATTGGACCCTTCCCAGGGTTTAAGGATCAAAGTGTCGGGTTTATTGTCCAAGTATTTAAAAGGATGGTACATACATATACATATATATGTATATATAAGTATACCCGTAGATAAATGTTGGTTTTTGAGTACCTCTGGGGCCACCCATTCAGTATGTTGGTACTGGGTAGGTTTGATGCCGCCCCCCCGCCCTTAAACAATCTTCTTTGGCAGGTGTCATGCTCTTTCGATGCGGCAGGCATGTGAATTCGCATACTCCGCTTAGTTCAGCCAGTCAACCCTGTGGATCTCACGCTCAAAGCTTCTGACCCCAACAGACTGAGTCTGCGCTTCCGTAAGTAACCCTGAGGTTTGGGTATCTCAAAAACGGGGGGGTCCCTCTTTGGTACCGGATCCTGAATCTGGGCCCCAGAATGAGGCACCTCTGTCTCTCTGGAAATCCCCACTCTATGGCAATTTCCAACAGGAAAGATCCACCGAATATAGAGTGGCACTTGTGAGAACAATCCCTCCGAAAAGTCATCCACCATGTTTGGGAGCCCTGCTAAGACCGAAACCCCAAATTCGTGGCCCTAGCGCAAGGCTGAAGGCTTGGTGGAAACCGAGGAAGAAAGCAACACTGAAGCAGAATCTTGAACTGAAGGCAGAAGCTTTGAGGTTTGGATGTTTTTGGATAATGGAAAATGAATGAAAACTGCTATATTATTATGGGGTTATATGGGGGTTATACAGGGATTATATTGGGGTTATATAGGGATTGTATAGGGGTTTCGGAAGGGTTCAGGGTTGTTTGGAGTTTAGCGCTCGGAGTGTTGTTAGTGAGGTGTTTGGGCTTTCGGCTTTCACATCATCAGCAGAGACATCATCCCAAACATGAAAGCGCAGATCGCACAGGGCATGTGCAAAGTTACAAAGAGGGGGGGGTACAAGTTGCAGCTATGTTCCTGTTCCACGGGCCCCAGAAAGCCACCCTCAATTTGGAGAACCCTTCAGACAAGGATGACCATGTGCTGTTTACGCTCCGCAGCCCTGGAAATGGGCTGGTTGGCTTTGAGATCCTTGGATTCCAAGTGATGTGGGGGTTGGGGCTCATGAAGTTGGAAGTTGATTTACTCGAAGGACGGTCCAACCACGGACAAACAGCTTGTGTATATTTGCACAGTACTAAATTGTTCCTGAATTTATTGTGCCTATCCCTTTCAGTTTAAGTAATGTGGTGTGGGTCCGGTCCTTCAGAACTTTGCCAACATCATATTCAGCTTTTCCTTCCAGAGCCGGAGATCCCAGGAAGACCAAATAGGCCCTAAACCTTAGAAAAACCCTACAGGCCCTAAACGGGACCTTAGGATCATGGGTCTTTTGAGCGACAACAAGCTCCAGTTGAGCTTGCAAATGCGACCTGGCAGCCAAGTGAAAGCTCAAAGGGGTCTTGGGGTTAGGATTTTGTGTAGGGTCAGGGCCCTTAGGTTTATAGGATTTAATGTAGTAGGCTGGCTGAGCGCCCTTGGGTTTAGGATTTTAAGTAGGGTTTAGGGCCTGGAGTAGGGTTGAGGGACTGAGGGTACAGGGCTGATGAGTTCAGAAGGCAAACCCTCATAATCCCAAGCTGTTTGGGGGAGATGTTTACCGTCTGTGGGTCATGGGGTCGTTTGCCAAATTATAAGCACGATTCATCATCATGTGCAGCAAGTAGGTTCTTTTGGCGAGTGCTGGCTACAGTAGACGTTGGTATGTCTAAAGTCTACAATGCATTGAGAGAGCCATTCCTTCAGTGAGTAATCTAACGTCTGATTGTATGGCAGCTTTTGGCAAAGCATGCTACCGATCAGTATTCAGACTGTTTTCCATGATTGCAAGCACCAAATTCACGCCTTCCCTTTCCCAAGCTGAGGCAGTTTGGTCCCTTCACTACGCCCAGGAAGAGGACATGAGCCGCACGTTTGGGTAACACGTGTCACTCATGTTCAGGGGCTTATGCCCCATAATATAATGTACAATCATATAATATAATGTCGTAGAATATGATAATATATATATATATATGTACAGATGCAGTAGCCTCCATTTCATTTTCCATGTTCCTGTCCATTTGATTCTCCATTTACTGGGATGAGCGGTCATGGCAAAAAGGCGGCGGAAGTCCAAGTACCCATGAGCCTCTTACTTCCTGACTCTTCTGAGTTGCTGTTATGGAACAAAATTTAAAGCCAAGGGACTATAGGGGTTATATAGGGGTTATATGGGGATTATAGGGTATGCGTATATATAGGGGTTCTAAGGGTCCAAGTACACAATAATTAGGTACTTGGGTTTTGGGTAGTAGTAATTATAGTACAGGTGTTGGGTAGGTATATAATTATCAGGTACTTGGACCCTTAGGGTTTACCATATGGCCATATTACAGCAGTTTAATTGTTATGTTCCTTAATGGCAACCCAGTCTTCACAGGATGACGCTCATCGACTTGGCGCAGCAACTTCAGATCATTCTGGGCTCCATCCCCTTCATCTCGGTGTCAAGCAGCCCAGTTTGCCAATGATTGATGTTGTTCAGGGTTTTGGCTGCTGAGTCTCTGATACTCTGATATGCAACTTGGAGAATATGCACAAAAGGGCCTGAGACTTTTAAGGGCGCTTGAGTGGGACGTGTAAGATGCGGACTCACGATCACATGAAATGGTGCAAATCTTACCCAGAACGACGCAGCTACTGCTTATACTCATACCATAATAGCATAACAGCAGCCTTGATCAGGGGTCCTGCTACAATTTTAACACGAAAGTGTCATCAAACATCTCAATCCGATAAGGAAACCTCAGCTTCACACAGCCCCTGCCATCCCCCCGCTGCATAAGTGACAAGGAAGCATGCCTTTGTAAATGTCTCAAAGCATATGTGGGAGATCTACTCACAGGGAACCCAGAATTTTCCAATAATACACCCTATAATCCCTATATAAACCCTGTATAATCCCTATATTATAGTAGTTTCCATTTTCTTTTCCATTATCCCAATATAACCCCAATTATATACCCTATATAACCCCCCTATATAACCCCTATATAACCCCCATATAATCCCTATATAACCCCTATATAACCCTATATTTACCCGTAAATCCCCGGAACCAAGGCAAGGCCAAAGCCATCCAGGCGTTGCATGTGCCTCGCCTTTTCAGGATCATCCTTTTTTCCATACTATATTATAATAGGGTTATATTGGGGTTATATTGGGGGTATATAGGGATTATATTGGGGTTATATAGGGGTTATATTGGGTTATATAGGGTTATATTGGGGTTATATAGGGGTTATATAAGGGTTATAGGTATTTTGTGAAGGCATTAGTTCCATGTCCAAAGCCGAAGTCTGAAAGCCTGTAACGCTGAAGCCGACGCAAGCACTTTGTGATCCTACGGGATCTCGTCATCATGCCCTGTACAAGATGCAAGGATGGTAGGATCCTGCAGGTTTCTGGGGGACCCTGGCGGATCCGTTTTAGCCATCTCTTTCCTGCCCTGTTGGGCTAAGGACTTTGACACGGAGGCTGAGTCCTCAATGCCCGTCAGCACCGATGAAGGCTTCTCTTCACAAGTTGCCTCGCCCATCTTGTAGGACGCAGAGTGCAGGGCTGCTAGGGATACAACCAGCAATTACATGAGTACTGCTCGGAATCCACTGTCCAGTGTTGGGTGCATTGCGCTAAAGCAACTATGGGCTTACTTCACTTGATGGAAGAAGTCGCAGTATTCCCTCTCTACGTCATGCAGGCTTTGGCGCATTCTCGACCTTCTGGGTCATCGCTGGCAACGGACACCGTGTCGCTTGGCGGTTGTCTTGCCACGAATACGGCTGTCATCAACTTATAAGGATTGAACATATCGTTTTTGGAGGAGTCGGGTTGCAGTCTAGGGAGGCGGGTGGTTGGAAGGCTTGGGGTCTAGGCTTTGGTTCAGACTTACTTGTACTGAGTGATTTGGGACCTGAATCGCTGGATCTCGGAGAGCGCAACGAGGGTTCCATAGGACTCACAAGAATTCCTGAAAGGGTTCTTTTACGAATTCTGTGTACCCGCCAATTTTGATTATGGGCGGTGCTGTCCTGTCCGTGGATCCCTGCTCTCAATCAGCTTGAAGAAAAGCAGGGAGAGGAGCCTCATAAGAAACAGCTACAGCAAGCTACCGCAAATTGAACATTTTTTATCCACCACAGGTTGTATTGTGCGCCCATAGCCCGAATCCCTTTTGCACATCATGCCAAGGAGGACCAGAGAGGCGCAATGATCTACTGGACAGATAGCCCCAGAGTCTCTCGGTTGAAAGGTTCATGGGTAAAGGGCCGTCGTTCCAGAACAATGATTCTTGCGCAGACACCAAGCTTGGTCAAAAAGGACGTCAGGTGCGCTTTAAAACAGCAAAGCATCCCGGAGCACTCCAAAACCGCTCCAGAAGAATGCAAGGACTATAGTCCAAGCCCACAGACCCCACCGGACGGCTAAAACAGTGCGATTGGCAGACAGATTGCAAGGACACAACTTGGCAGGACACTCCGCGCCAGAGCCTTCCATGAAACCCTTAGGTTATATGTTGGGGTTATATGGGGATAATGGAAAATAAAATGGAAACTACTATAGTATATTGGGGTTATATGGGGATGATGGAAAATAGGGCCTTGGGAGTTTCCAAGAAAGCCGTCCCGAGGCTCCCCGAGCTTTCTAGAACCAACGGTTCTGACCATGGCCAAATGGTAGTTTCTATAAGTAGCGGGACCCCAGTATAGACCCTTAGAAAATATAGCGTATTAGAGAGACGCCCTAAAAGGTACCTCTAATTTGGGAAGCAAGTAAACGTGCAGAAAAGTGGTAGTCATGCAGTTGCTTTCAATCAGGGCACCGGGAGATCCGGCAAGTTGTTTAAAGGTAAAAGCATATGCTGGGGTGCTACACACAATGCCAGGATTTGTGGATTTTGTATATTATTGTATATTATGGTATATTATGGTGCACACGCTGCTGAGGTCTACCCCTTCAACCACGATGTCAGGGCGACCTTTCGCTTCTTCCCGGACGGAGAAGGGGAATACTGGATGGCCGATGGGATGGAATGATCAAATCCCCTCCCCCACCCTTCTAGTATGAAATTTTCCCATATATGCCCATACCGATTCTCACATATTTCAGTGATGATATATTTCAATTGCATTAATTCGGAATGTATTATATTCAGGGTGTGGGGGGGGGCTTTAAAATTCGAGGAGGGCAGTAGCAAGCATGTGGGTTCCTGTTTGTTGGTATCGTCCTCATACCGCCTCGTTAAGTCTCAAGTTAACCAACAGCCATGTGCAAAACAGAACGCATGGTTTCAACAGGCAATTGAATCTGTGCAGCTGAGGTCACTTCTGACTCTTCGGATAAACCGGGCAAGATGGTCTACCTGAAAGACGGAGGATTTCACCTGCACGATTTCCACGAGGACATTTCGTAGGATGCAGGGTTTCCATGGGTGTCAAGCATTAAGCTCGTATACAGCATGCTGCACAGGACCCTAAAACGAAGTGGAGGATGGTCGAGGACGGAGGCCAGAAACTAGGCCCAACATTTATTGCATCGCTTTCTGGGAAACAGGTCGATGATTTGGGGGCCTTGGGCTTTGTGCTCACGGATTTGAAGCGCATGTGCGCAGGGAGAGGTGGGGTTGTTGAGTTTACATTCTGGTGTCCATTGCCGGCTGGGGCTTGTCTGGTGTCTAAGTACCGGACCCAGCTAGAAATAGCATAGTTCAAGGTACACCCCTAGAAGGGAATTAGTTGAGTCGTGCCCTTGGGCCCTAAGCTCAATAGACACCCTAGTAGTTTCCATTTTCTTTTCCATTATCCCCATATAACCCCCAATATAATCCTAATATTTCCTCTAGTTAAGGGGGACTGTACTTTCGTATTCAGACGCGCTTTGCTTTCCTCACCGACTCTCCTAAGGTACTGGTTGGTGACGGGGCCGAACCATCACACTCCAGGACTCGAGGGTGTACTTATGGTTGGGGGGTTTCCAGTGTATTGGGTCTACCATGGGCTCCCCCTACCTGTTAGCAGCAGCAGCAGCAGCAGCAGCAGCAGCAGCAGCGAGCAGTAGCAGTAGCACGTGTCAACATTTGCATTCTTGCTTGGTTTCCTTTCCGACTCCTCGGAATACGACACCCTTACTTCCATGCTGTAACTGGAACCACTTCTAGAATTGCCACCGTTGGGTTGTTGCATCGTGTTAAGCTTACAGCTCTCTATTTGTTGAGACTTGCGATTGTTAGCATGCATCTTAGCGCGTGTGGACTCCGGGTCTCGACTCGTCACCTGCGGGGAAGAGGGTTTATAGCTTAACAGCTCAACATTCTGAGGATCTTGGAGGTGGTCGAGGGGATTGCGTTGGTGGAAGTTCGAATGTCCCAGTTCAATGGTCATTTCAGAGGAGATGATTAGAAATGTATTGGCTACGATTTTCTTGAAAACGTCATCTTCCATTTTGGGACGTAATGCACCTGTCTATGCTGAGCGAGCGGGTCATCATAGGGGTATTTCTCAACAAACATCGCCGCGCAGAATCCATCATTGGGACCCCGTACTCCCCGTATAGACCCCACACAGTCCATAATTATATACGCCATCGTGCGCCCGCCTCTGGCGGGGCTCGGAGCACACGAATAGGTCATGGCA